AGTAAGAAACGAAAAATTGAAAAGTATTAAAAAGATTCTATTCTTTTGAATGCCATTTCTGTCCAATATAGAAGGGTGTTTTTAAAATTATTTGTACATGTGAAGGTGGCGCTGCAGTCGTATGTTATTTAAAAAGAGCGCGAATATATAAATTTTATTTTTGTTAAGAGAAAGTACTCATAATAAATCTTATTTTGCATTGTCAAAAAAAACGTCAACATTTCAAATATAAATAAGCAAATTATGAACTGAAAAAATTTGAATATTATTATTAATAAAATAATGGACTCGGACAATGGACATATTAAAACTAGCACCGTAGACGGCCGCTTGCAACCGTCGGAAGAGCTAGTTTGAATTAAATAATTTAGTTTACTTGTAGCGATAAAATAAATTAATTGTGTCAAATAATGTTTATTCATATCAAATATCCAATTAGTTGAGTGAAATAAATAAGTTAATTGTTTCAAATAACTCATTATTTGAATTAAATAAATTCATTTATTAGAGTCAATTAATTATTTAATTAACACAATTCAGATTTATTTTATGTAAATAAATGCGATTCAAATAATTCAAGTTATTTGAAGCAAATAAATATTTATTAAATCCAAATGAAAATTATTTGAATTAAATAAGGGAGCGTTCACAAATGATGTTTCGCAATTTTTTGAGATTTTTAACCCCCCCCCCTCCCCCCTGTCACGCAATTTTTGCAATTTCATATTTGTGAACGCTCCCTAAATATTTTTCAAATAATTTGAATAATTAATTCTGCACTGAAAAAAAAAATTATTTGATTCAATTAGAATCAAATAATTTTTTTTTCAGTGCAGAACATTTTTTAATTTTTGAAGGTACCAGTACACACTTTAGAATTTAAAAAATTGTTATTTTTTTATTGTATTTTTTAACTCCTCATGACTTCAGAAAACACCTTCTATAAAGTATTCATAACCAATTGTAAAAAATAAAAGTAAATTTTTCAAAAATCTGTAAGTGAAATTGTCCCATCACGTCTCAATTGTAAGAAAAACGGGTTCAAAGTGTCAAAATATCCCATTTTTGGCACTTTTTGAAGCATTATAAAAAAAGAACGCGACGTCATAGAAAGCTCAAATATGTCTTAAATGAGAGCTCGAACCCTCAACTTTAACATCCAAAATTAAAAAACTATGTAGAAGTAACTCAAAATTGTGGGCCAAAAATGGCATATTTTGACACTTTGACCCCGTTTTTCTCAAAATTGATACGTATTCTTGTAGCAACATTTTGTCGAACAGTGCGTAATAGACTAATAATTTTGTAAACAATCTGTTTACACTAGTATGCGGCTTACAAATGATCAACTTTTCATTTTGCCTAAATCGACTTAGGCATTTCGCGAAATGACTAGGTATTTCGCGAAATGCTTAAAATTTCTAGGTAAAACTCGAATTTCCTGGGCACTTTTAGGTATTTCCCGATTTGCCTAGGCATTTCGCAAAATGCCTGGACTTCGGGTTTTACCGGTAACATATACATATAAAGTTTAAACGCGTTTTTCTCAAAATAACGTTTTTTCAAATTGCGAACACTTTATCTCTGAATCTACTGAACCGATTTTAAAAAATAATAAGTCGTTTTGTTTGTTAGCATGTCCTGTGTGTGAATTCACAAGAAAAAATTTTAAAAAAACATTTTTGCAGACTAGAAAAATACTGAAAAACATAATGTATTTTTAAAAAAATTATTGAAACATCTGCTATTTTTTTATTTTAGTCGATTTTTCATTATTGGTGGTGGATTTCTATGCAAGACACCTTCCTTTTTAAAAAGCAGTTTGGATTTTTTGTTTCCGATTTGTCAATTTTGAGATAAACTGTCCGCAATTGGACAATTAACTTTTTCGAGTTTCGATCTTACAAAGGAGTTAAAAAATATAATAAAAAAAATAACAATTTTTTAAATTCTAAAGTGTGTACTGGTACCTTCAAAAATTAAAAAATGTTCTGCACTGAGAAAAAAATTATTTGATTCAATTAATTCAAATTATTTGAAAAATATTTAGGAAGCGTTCACAAATATAAAATTGCAAAAATTGCGTGACAGGGGGGAGGGGGGGGTTAAAAATGTCCAAAAATTGCGTGACATCATTTGTGAACGCTCCCTTATTTGATTCAAATAATTTTCATTTGGATTTAATAAATATTTATTTGCTTCAAATAACTTGAATTATTTGAATCGCATTTATTTACATAAAATAAATCTTAATTGTGTTAATTAAATAATTAATTGACTCTAATAAATGAATTTATTTAATACAAATAATGAGTTATTTGAAACAATTAACTTATTTATTTCACTCAACTAATTGGATATTTGATATGAATAAACATTATTTGACACAATTAATTTATTTTATCGCTACAAGTAAACTAAATTATTTAATTCAAATAATGCATTATTCAATGCAAATGAGCGGATGGGAAGAAGAACTCGCCGAGCGCGTGCTTGTAAGGGATAGTTCCAGTCAGGTAGCACTGTAGCAGTGTGTGGCCTAGAGGCGCTCACTGCTACGAGTGCTACCTGACTGATATTATCCCTTACAAGCACGCGCTCGGCGAGTTCTTCTTCCCATCCGCTCAAATATATTATTTAATAGAAACAAATAAAAAATATTTATAAATCAAATAAATAACTTATTGAAACCAAAATAATGAGTTATTTGAAACTATTAATTTATTTATTTCACTCAAGTAAATCACTCACTTTCGTTAGATATATAAATACAAATTATTTTTCTCAATTAATTTTAGGTAATTTTATTTTATCAATATAAAAATCTATTATATAAATAATAAATAAGTGTTAAATATATTAAAAGGGAGGTCGTTTTCAAATAGATGAATGCCTCATATATATTTTGAACAATAAAATTATAGACCGCAACTAGTGCGGTAGTATACATTTTATTCTTTCGTCGACTTATAGCGAATTCGGTTATCTGCACCGGAGCACTCTCGGAGTGCTCCAGAGCAGGAGTAGCATGTTCGGTTTGACAAATGTGCTCTAGTGCAGATCGTTTGGAGTATTCGCTTTAGCAGCACTGCTCCGGCGCAGATCGTTTCGAGTATTCGTTTTGGCAGCACTGCTCCGGCGCAGATCGTTATTTGTGTTCGAATTAAGAAGTGTGCACTCTCAAGGATCGAAAGGTGCAACAAAATTTGCTCCCACAATTTTGTTAGTGCAGTTTAAAAAAATGTCAAGAGAAGCGGCAAATTTAAAAATTTCACTTCTAACAGATTTAATTGACACCTCTAGCGATAGTAGTAAAGACGAATTATGTTTTTTATAATGAATTTTGTATTTAGAGAAAGACTAACATTCAATATTTTAATATTTAATAAAAACAGTAAGTTTAATAAATAAAAAATATGTAGTAGTAATAGTATAGTTTTAGTTTAGTAAATAATTTTCAATATTTCTAATATTTAAATAAAAATACTCATTATAAAGTAATTATTTGGTCTCAAAGAAATAACCTTTTCACTTATTTTATTATTGTTGTTGTTAGTAGTTCAAAATGTCAAATAGTGTAAACAAAATTTATATCAGAAATATTATTCGATAATTTTGTGATTAACAATTCTGCTATATCAAAACATTGACCGAATAAGATTTTAAAATTCTAATAAAAATATCAAATTTTTTGCTTTTAAAAATATTATTTATGTATACATCATAAAATATTTAATTTTAAGTAAAATAATTTTACATTTAAGAAGAAAATATATTGCATAATATAATGTATAATAATATATATAATATAATAAATATAATATTATATTACATTATATTATATAAGTTTAATTAAATTTAAACTTCGCGCCAAACGAGCAGTGTATGCTTTACACCATAGCAGTTCATGTTGTGCTCCTGCTCCAAAAACAGTCAAACTTTGCCAGTGTTCATGACGTCATAGATTGCCTCAGAGTAGAGCACAGCTTTTTGAGAGCAGAGTAAACTATACTCCTACACCGAGCAAGATCGCTCTCGGAGCAGATAACCGAATTCGCTATTAGATTTAGTTTTTAAAATTGTACAGTATTTATTTTCTAGTATATTTATTCATCAATCTTTTACGTCCGAGAATATATTTTAGATAGTATGGATAGAAAACGACAGCATTAGGACCAAAATTGTTAATTTTATTACTTGCAACCGCGCGCACAGCGGCACTTATCGAATGTTGTCGTTTTTATCTACTATCTAGACTTTTTATTTTTGTAAAAAAGAAAAGTTAAGGTATTTGTCGCGCGACTGGTCACTGTCAAAAGTTTGTATCCGTTGACTGTACTTATGAAACGATTATGAATGCGAGTTTCCGAAAAACTTTTGCGGACGTACAGTTTGACACACAGATGTTCTCAAAGTATATTCATAACCTCTCGCATGAAAAACGATCGTGGCAACATCGCAAGTTTGGCGTATGGCAGTCTTTAAAATTTCGCGCCAAAAGTAGCAGACAAGCTGTAGTATTTAACAAGCGCTATTGCCACGTTTACAAATTCACCTGTCATTTACAGTAAATGTTAAAATAATTTTTCAAGTTTGATGTTAAATATCTTTTAAACAAGACGGTGAAAAATTTTCATTTTTTTTATAAAAGTTCATTTTGGTTCAATAAATAAAACTTTAGTTTTTCTAAAAAATCTGTCGATTAGTATAAGTGCAAAAATTAAAAATCTGTGGTTTTCATATGGTTTTCCTATACCGTACATGTTAAAAATCGAAACTTTGATTTCATTTTTTGAGACTTACAGACGGTCAATTTTATTTTAATAGGCCTTATTTTGTAGATAAATATCCAAAGAATAATTATGTGAAATTTAAAAAAATTCTGTCGAAAACGAATTTACGCGACAAATACCTTAAATGCCAAGAGTTGAAACACTAACGGAGTCTTACAAAATGTTTAACAGGTAACATCTGTTTTACATCAAAAAATGTTAAACATGTAAAATTACATAAACTTTTATTAAGTAAATCTAATTTGAAAATACATACATACATACTAACACACACACATATATATAAACATGACGATTAAAACTGAAATTACATTAAAGGGGACTTTCTGGTAAAGGATTTCAAAAAATCGATTTTTATTTTTTTGTTTTAAAATATAAGCAGCACTAATGTACACAGCACAATAAATTTACCACAGTTAAAGCAATTTTCATGACCGTTTCTTAACTTACTGTAATATACGTTACAAAAACTTTAAACGCGTTTATCTCGAAAACACATTTCTAGAAATCTACTGCATTGTAAAACATTAAAAAAATTGTTTTTGAGATTTGTTGTCTAGAAAAAATTCTTATAAAGAGAATCCCGTTTGAATTTTTAATTTATGTAAAGTACACTGAGAGAAGTCCGGGAACTAATACGTCCCGTGCGAGGCTTGAGTGATAATTTTGAATGTTCTTATGTGAACCCTCAATCGGGACGTCTCAAGGCGAGAACAGAATGCCTATGAAAACGTGTACGTTAACGTGAACGTGGTCACGTGACCCATTTGAATAACATTGTGACGTCAGCACGTTACACGTTCACGTAGGCTATTCTGTTCTCGCCTTCAAGCCCCGATAAAAAACGTGGAACGTTCCGAAGCGGGATTACTTACAACTTTTAGTTTCGGTCACGAGTTGTTCTCTCACATATATAAATAAATAAAAACACTCAAAAAAATGTTTTAATTCTCTCCTTGTAATATGTAACAATATCCCAAAGGACTTTTTGCAAGAACTATAATTCATTTTTTACAATAAGAGTTTAAAAAAGTGTGTTTTTACCGATTCTTATCAGAAAGTCCCCTCAATAGAAAAAATTGTTTTAACATGTTAGGTAGCGTTTTTGAACAAATTAATTTTTAAGTAAAAAAATGTTTTAAAAAATCAATTTTAAACAAATGAAAAATATCGTTGACTTTTGCAAATAAATTTTAATAATTTCTTTTTATTTTAAAAACATTTAAAAAAGAGTTTTAAACTTATTAAACCTTTTTTCAGACATTAGAAGATCAAGTAAAATGATATACAGAAAAATAGTGCAAGATTTATGACATTATTAAACAATTTTCTTCGAATATAGAATTAAAAATTATTTTCGAAGTAGTAGAAATACAATACAATAAATATGACTGATTTTTTAACCAAGCGCTTAGTAATACTATTTATGCAGTTCTAGAAACGTTGACATGTTTTTTAAATTAGAACTAAACGCACACCTAGACTCTTAATCTTAGGAAGGCGCTTACGTGAAATTTAAAGCCAGTTTCTCTTTTTTGAAGATATGTAAATTTAATAATAAAAATATATTAACTAGATTTAAACACATACTTAATTTTTATAAGAACATTATAGCTTTTTTATACACTTAAATTCTAAAAATAAAATAATAATTTAAAACTTAATTCGAAGTCTGTAAATTTACAGGTGTTAAAATTGCATCTTATAAAACAAATTAATGTCGTTTGACGATTGTGTTCTTAATGATAGGGGGTGTTTATGTTTACGTTGATCAAATCGTTGGAGCTAAAACAATGATTAAATTTATGCACAAAAGAATATTATTAAATAAAATTAAGAAAATTATTGGTAAAAAATAATTAGCGTAATTATATAAAAGTTAACATGCATTTTAGAATTAAAATTATTTTAATTATGATTAGGTATAAATTTTTATTCTTTAAAATTTTTTTTAATTTAATATAATTAAATAAAAAATTTAACTAAATAAAGCAAGAAATTATGTGTTAAATTTTAATTACATACATATTTAAAAACATTATGTATCTAAATCTAAATTTATTAAAAAGAAAAAAATATTTTTATTAAGTATTGCAGTCAACGATTTTAAATCATTGATATAGTAAAAAAATATTTTACAATACTTTTATTATTCACTAAATAAATAAGTATTGTTAACAAATTTAATTAAATAATAAAACAAAATTTATTAGAAAAATGCATTTGAGGGGTTATACTTGTTTGACATTTTTTTATTGGCTTAAAATATACTATAACATTCCTCGATTGATAATCAAAAACGTCCTTGCATGAAAACAACTTGAAAGTGTTCTTAAATTTAATTTTTCTGGATCAATTCCGAAGTGTAAATCAGAACATTTTAACTTCAAACGCGTGTTACTCGAAACCATGTTTTGCAAATCGGCGAGCAGTAGAACTGTAGCTTCTTAGTTAATAACTTCCCAATGGGAAATTGCCAATGCTCACCATTGGCTAAATAATGGACCAATATTGGCTGCCAACAGTTTTTTCTTGGTCAAACATTGGCAACCAATATTGGGCCACTATTGCCAGAGTCTTGGGATGATCACGACTTTGCCAAGCATTGGCAGCCAATATTGGATCAATATTGGCTGCCAAGACAAATGCCGGACTTTCCAAGCGTTGGATATTCATTGGCAACAAATATTGGACCAATATTAGTGACCAATTAATTACCAATGCTTTAAATTAAATTAAATGCTTGGTTATTTATTGGTTACCAATACTGAACCAACGTTTGAAATCAATATTTTACAAATACCAACATATAGCAAAAATTTTTCAAAAAAAAAAAAATAAATTACTAATCTAAAGAAAAAAAAATTAATTTTATTGGAACACTCTGTTAAAAACAGAATGTGATAAAAATCAGACAAAGATAATATTTGTCTAAGTTCGAGAATGCAAGCGTCTCTCCTTATATAGAACTGGTAACACAACTTGCTGGTGAGTGAAAGAAGCTCTGGCGCACCCTGGTGTTCGATTTTGAAATGTCCCGCGCTGCTTCAAAGTATATGCTCGAAATTACTTTGGATAAGTGCCACCAGGGTGCGCCACAGTTTCTTCCTCTCACCAGCAAGTTGTGTTACCAGTTCTATATAAGGAGAGACGCTTGCATTCTCGAACTTAGACAAATATTATCTTTGTCTGATTTTTATCACATTCTGTTTTTAACCACTTCACTGGCGGGGCGTTCCAAATGGCGTTCCACGCGCCGAGGCCCAGACTGGCAAAAACACCGAAATGGCGTTCCTAATAAAACTTTATTTTTAAAGAGTGTACACTACTTTTTACTACTACAAAGCAATATTTCTATAGTTTAGACATCAGGGAACAAGATTATCACAATGAAAATTTCAGTTTTTGAGATTTTCAATGTTTCTTCGAACGTTGAAATAGTCGATTTTTAACACTTTTTAACAAATGGCGTTCCACTTTTGTTATTATTAATAATTATTAAATTTTATTTATTAATTATTTATATTTATTTTTTACTTATTACATTATTATATTATAATGTTTTGTATGTAAATATATTTTTTAAATAAAAAATATTAGTTTTACTGTGTAAAAATTAAAAAAAAGTGGAACGCCATTTGGTGAAAAGTGGTAAAAATGGACTATTTCAACGTATGAAAAAACATTGAAAATCCCAAAAACTGAAATTTTCATTGTGATAATCTTGTTCCCTGATGTCTAAACTATAGAAATATTGCTTTGTATAAGTTAAAAGTAGTGTACACTCTTTAAAAATAAAGTTTTATTAGGAACGCCATTTCGGTGTTTTTGCCAGTCTGGGCCTCGGCGCGTGGAACGCCATTTGGAACGCCCCGCCAGTGAAGTGGTTAACAGAGTGTTCCAATAAAATTAATTTTTTTTTCTTTAGATTAGTAATTTATTATTTTTTTTTTGAAAAATTTTTGCTATATGTTGGTATTTGTAAAATATTGATTTCAAACGTTGGTTCAGTATTGGTAACCAATAAATAACCAAGCATTTAATTTAATTTAAAGCATTGGTAATTAATTGGTCACTAATATTGGTCCAATATTTGTTGCCAATTAATATCCAACGCTTGGAAAGTCCGGCATTTGTCTTGGCAGCCAATATTGATCCAATATTGGCTGCCAATGCTTGGCAAAGTCGTGATCATCCCAAGACTCTGGCAATAGTGGCCCAATATTGGTTGCCATTATTGCACCATTATTGGTACTGCTGGCTCCCAATATAGGACCATTATTGCGCCAATGGTTAATTTCCCATTGGGTTATCTAGTGAAGTACACACGATTTTTAAAATTGATGAACAGGATTTTTTTTAATGAATAATTAAAGTCGATTTTTTTCTAAGTCTTGCAATTTTACACAAAAAATTCTAAAATTATAATCATGTGTACTTCACTATAGATAATCTTATGTAGTTGTAAAAAAAAATTTTTTAAAAATTGTTTCTTAACTCTTTAAAAGTTGCTTAATTAAATGGTATAATATTAGTTGCCAATACATAATTTAAAATTGTACTGACAAAAAATTTTTTAAAAACACCCTTTTTTTAAGCCTCTAAACAAGTATATAACCCCTTAAAAGCAATATTACAGTTTTTCCAACTATAATATTAGGGGCCGTACACATAATACGTCACGCGATTTTTGACCATTTTTAACCCCTCCCTCCCCCTATGTCACACTTCGTCACAAACCTTGAACCCCCCCCTCCCCCTATAACGTCACGTCACATACGTAAATTTTAATGTGAATTTTATACATTTGACATTATATATTATATCCTACACTCAAAATTATTGAATCAGTTAAAAATATTTTTTTCTGACAATTAGTTAAAAATAACTGATGTTTCAATACAATTTTTTTTGATTGATTCATTTAGTCACGTTTAACTACCTACATATCACCGAAACTTTCCTAAAAATTTATTAAAGATTTACTCGCAAGCTTCGAAATATTTAAATGCAAAGTTTAGTGAAAACTGTGTAAAGATTTAAATATCCCACTTCAATAAATGTTTAACGCGAAACTTTCCTGAAAATATTCACGAAATTATAGTCGAAAATGTAATTAAAATGTTCAGGAATGTTTCAAGCTATATTTTTAAGAAAATTTGACGATAAACATTTATTGTAGTAAAAAATTTAAATCTTTACACAATTTTAACTAAACTTTGCAAGTAAATTTTTTGAAGTATGCAAGCAAATCTTTAATATACATATTTAGAAAAGTTTCGGTGTTTTGTGGATAATTTTTCAGTTATTTTTTTAACTGATTCAGAAGCAAAAAGTCAGTCACTGCTGATTGTCAGTTAAAACCAAGTTTTTTAACTGATTCAAATTAAGAGAATATATTATTTATCATATTATATTATAAATAATAAATCAATAGATGTTAAATAGGTACATAATAGATATTAAATAGTTTAAAGCATTTTTAACTTGTTTTATTTACACGGAGAAACTTTTAATACCACTAATTCTTAAAACTGGTGAGACATTTTAGTATATTAGGTTAGATTCAAGGAAAAAAACGACATAGGTTATAGAAATTGCTATTGAGACTATCAAAAACACTCATTCAGTATATATTTTACAGTTCTTCATAAGGAAACTAACGAAAATTAGTATGTTGTTTTAGAAAGAAAATAATAATTTTTGCAAAGTTGGGAAAGCCATGAATTAAAAAGAAACACAACAAATTAATTGTCTATAGATACTCATAGAGACGATAGTGATACTTGGATCTGATGGTAGATGGCATTAGTGTATGTCACTGTAACTGTAGGTAAATATATTTAACACGACGTAAGAACCTAACCTATATTATTAACGCACACACGCACACGCAAGTAAAGACACGACGATTGGTCACGGAAACCGAAAGATCGCACGATTCGTTAGAAGTACACAGCTGAATCGTCCTTATATATTAAACGAGTGGAAAAATATGTGCCTTCGAGAGAGAGCATTTTTTAAAATAACTTACTAATCAAATTATGTAAATAAGTAAAAGTCGTGAAAAAAATTATGTTATATTGAGGAACAGTTCTTGAATTTAATTTGGCATGAGGAGACATTCACGTTTATTAATAAAAGGTTTTTTTCTTTCATACACGTGTGAATTTCAACTTCGAAAACATTAGGGTTAGTTCGCGACGTCAGGTGATGGATTCGGTGATGCTCGGGCGAAATCGGTTAAGTCCGCCCGCAGTCCTTCCAAAATTGGTATGTTACGTTAGAATGTCTGTTATATATTCTATCTATATGTGGAAAAAAGGTTAGAATTACCGTATTATTTCACAAACAAAAACTAGCATTTTATTCTTTTCTAAAGAAAAATAAGACTATTTCTAATGCAGATAGTAATTTTTGTACACCGAAGGTTGCTTAATATATAACGAACTTATCATATTTTCGTATTAATGTTGAAATTATTAGCACAACGCACGAAAAATCCTCACATTCTAACGTACTTTTAGAATAAAGATAACCAAATATATTTAATATTAGAAGAAAAAGTTTCTCCGTGTAGAAAAAGTGACATTGTCACATATAATTTCTTATAATCTTTGAATTTAAAAGATTGTGACGTAACACATGAGTTCACCCCCCCCCTCCCCCATGTCACACTTAGTCACAATTCTCAGACCCCTCCCTCCCCCTAGCCGCGTGACGTATTATGTGTAAGGCCCCTTAAAGTTAATAACTAGAAAATTTAATACAGCAAAGAAATATGC